TGAAAAAAGTCTTAAATCCAAGTTTTAGCATATCGACATACCTTAAAGGCAACTTCCAGATGAACCAGATCCCTGTTAAAATTTAGCAACTCTAGCATCTTCTCGCCAAGGAGATAATGAAAATTAATAAAAACATATTCAATTTAAGATGTATACCTAAATGACTAATGTATCACAAACATGGCACCAGATTCGTCAAAATCATATGGCCAAGCCAAAACTTTGATGCTCCTTGCATGCACTTGTATCGGACAATCAGATGGAATCGATGTTGAATATTCAAAATCGGATAATCAAATTGAGTCGATATTGAATATTCATAACCTATTGAAGGAATGAAACATCGACAAACCAAAAGCAATTGGGATTTTATCAGAAAAATGATAGGGAATACGAGAAAAAGACATTGAAGGTGAACAATTGGGATTTTTTCAGTTTTTTTGTATTCTGTGAAAGTTTTAAAACATACATATCTAATTCGTTTGAAGTCGGATTGACATGTGGTTTTTTCCAACTTGTAGTTTAGAGTTTGTACATGAGTTTAGACTATAATTTTGTCATTTTTTGTTTAATATTCAATGATTTACAGTCCTCCGAAGTTGGGCTATCAAAACTGAAAATTTTCAACTTTTCAGCTATTTGTTTTTGTACTTTGTATTCTGTAAAAATGTTAACACATGCATATCTCATTCTTTTAAAGTCGGATTGACATGCAGTTTTTTCCAGAGTGTAGTTCAGAGTTTGTATATGATTTTAGATTATAATTTTGTCAATTTTGGTTTCATATTCAATGAGTTACAGTCCTCCAAAATCCGGTTCTACAAAATCCCGTTAACCGGTTCTGGGTTTTCCGGAACCGGGTCCATCTAGTCCGGGTTTGGACCCACTTTCATCCCTAGTTATGAGTGTTGTTGGTGGTCGCAGGTGGTGAGTGATGTAGGTTAGTGTTGGGTCGTGGGTGGTGGTGGCGGTGGCGGTGGTGATGTATGGTGGTTTTGGTGGGATGGTGGTGATGAGTGGTGGAGGTGGGTGGTGGTGATGAGTGGTGGGTGGTGGTGGTGGTGATGAGTGGTGGGTGGTGGTGGTGGTGGTGGTTGGTGGTGACGGTGATAGGTGGTGGTGGTCTTGGTAGGTGGTAGGTGGGGGTGATGAGTGGTGGTTGTGGGTGGTTGTGGCAGGTGATGGGTGGTGGGTGGTAGTGGCGGGTGGTGATCATAATGGTGGGTGGTTGGTGGGTGGTAGTGATGGGTAGTGGTGGTGGTCGGTGGTGATGGTGGTGGATGGTGGTCGTGGTTGGCGGTGGCGGGTGGTGATGATCTTGGTGGGTGGTGGCTTTCGTGGGTGGTGGATGGGGGTGGTGGTGGTGGGTGGTGTTGTTTGGATGGCGAGTGTTGTTTGTTAGTGGGTTTTTTCATTTTTTTCTTATTTTTTATTTATATTAATATTATTGATGATTTTAATTTTAAAAAATTGTATGGTCCAAATATGTTCTCAAATGTTCTCGCAATAAAAAATTATTCTCGATTAAATGCTCTCATATATATATATATATATATATATATATATATATATATATATATATATATATATATCTATATATATAGGTTTAGGTTCTATGGAAAATAAAAAACCCTAAAAATCATAAAAATACATAAAAAAATACTTAGAGATCACAGAACTTTTTTTTGAATTTTTTGTTAAAAAAATCGCAGCTTTTTATTAAAATTCGCTGAAAAAAAAATAAAAATCAATTTTTTTTTATAAAAAAAATGTTTTTTTTTCAAAAAAATTTTCAACGAATTTCGTTAAAAACCTACGATTTTTTCATAAAAAAGTCAAAAAAAAGTATTGTGATCTCTAGGTATTTTTTTTATACATGTTTATGATTTTTAGGGTTTTTTGTTTTCCAAATAACTCTTCCATTTTTTAGGGTTTAGGTTCTATGGAAAACAAAAAACCCTAAAAAAACCCTAAAAATCATAAAAATGCATAAAAAAATATTTAGAGATCACAAAACTTTTTTTTGAATTTTTTTATGACCATTATGTTTTTATCTGTATTCATTATCTATAAAACCTAACTTCATTTTAAAAGGAAAACGAAGCACATGTATATCTCCTTGGAAGGAGGTTATCGTCGATATTCATGGTGTTGATGGTGGCATTAGGGTGTTAAGGTCCGTTGTGAATAGAAGAGGAGTTTGGGACTGATATTTCATTTACAAGTGGGGTTGACCTGTTACAATATTGACATGCCTTCGTTGTTTGAAAATTGCAACGGTTGTTGGAGATGGTATACGGATCCAGATGGTAGGTATTTAGTCTCTTCAATGAGAAAAATTATAGACATCTATAGTTTGGGGCAAAAATTATAGAACTCTAAAGATCAAATTAAGCCTCGTGGGCAAGTGTTGGGTGGTTGCCCACGAGGCTTAATTTGATCAGTAGAGGTATTAATGTACCCCCAACTTTGTATCCTATCTGCAGGGTCAAATGGGAGTCTCAAATACATGTCTTTCTTGGATGTACTATTGGTAAAGAAACAATGTTACTGGTATTTAGATGGTGGGATCAAAAAGTGGGTCAAGTGAACACTTTAGAGGACTTGTTAAGACTGGTATCTAGGCAGAACTCGAAAAACAAGGACGCAAATGGGTTGGCTATGATTATACTCATTTTCGTATAGGTATTATGGCGGGCAAGAAACAATAAGTTGTACAATGGCTTGGTGAAGGCAACACACGTCCTTTTTAATGAGATCCAAATGTTCTCTTATAATTGGATTAGAAATAGATCTAAATTGGGTAGGAATGTGTCTTAGGAACTTTGGTGCTTAGATCCAAAAATCATTTGTAATGTTTTTTTCAACTAGCTTCTTGTTGTCGCTGTCATTTAAATAAATTATTTAAATAAATTCTTCTTGTTGTCCAAAAATATTTGTTTGCTTTTGTGAAAAAGTTTTGGATATCTAATTATAAATATTATATATATACTTGTATTGTTTGTCAAATACTAAATAATTCGTTATTAGTTCATGATATTAGTTATCGGATTGTTTAAATATCAAGTCTGAAATTGAACATATACCCTTTGGGAAGACCTAAATAATATAAGCATGACTAAAGCCCAAAGCATAGCATGTAGTCTCAAAATTTTATATATCGAGAACAAATTTTTTAAAAATAACTTGATAATAGTTAATACAGATGTTAAACTAATCAAACGCAAAATACATTTTACAACTTATCTAGGTGACAGTTACATTGATCAATTAACTACTCGATAGAAAATCTCCCTCGAATCTTTTATTACTATAAATATATAGATCGAAGTAGATGTTGCTAGGGTTCTAAATCATCTTTTATCTTCTCTGCAATGTTAGATGATCGTATTTTACTCCAATCGACATCACGCATATTACACATCAACATCATACGAGATGTATCGAGTATGATCTCAACGCAGCAAAACCATCAAATAAGAGAAGGCCAAGAATTTGAACCGGAAACTGTACTAGCAAAAAGTGAGCTGAATGTGTTCGGCGAGGTCCTCTGCACTTAGCTTGCATTCAATTCCAATCTACCAAAACAAAAGGCCATATATTAACGGATTCATCTTTTACGTACATATATTTCTGAACTTTCTCATAACAGAGATACTTAAAACAAGCGTAAATAATGATGAATTTTGAAAACTGTGTATATTATAAACTAATATATTTGTTATTTGAATGCTGCAACGGTATAAAAAAGTACTCCATTAAGACTTAGATTCATGGTAGTTTGGACTTTGGAGCAGCAGGTTTTGGTTCCAAGACTGATACAAGCAGTACAAACCTAATTAATAGCCTTGTATTGAATGTTCGATTACAAACAAAGATCGGGTACCTTTTTGAAATATGAACCAACTACTTTTTTTGTTTGATAATAGTTATAGCATTTCATTGGTACATATTGCATTTAATCAGGTTAGCCATTATATAATTTAAATTCATGAGTTATGTCGGTACTACAGCTGCTAGCTAGCTACCTTGTTGTTGCCTTTTTTAATTAATCTCCCAAATCTACCTTACTGAATATTCTTTATTTCCTATGTTAATTGTGCATGTATTTATGTGTGAGACCATGAAAAGCAAAATGAACCAAAGAACCGAACGGAGCAAAAGTTCTATAATGTTGTACAAACATAATAGACAAAACAACAAACAAGTGATCAGGGTCCACGTGCTACATTAAAGAAATTCACATTGTTGGGGAAAATGTTTGAGTTCGAATTTATGGGCTGATTACCCACTGTACTTCAGTGTGTAATTCACTTTTTCTTGTTTTTAATAAAATTCTAGCTGTTAAAAAAAATTCACCTTGCTGAAGTTTCAAGTTGAGCAATTGACATTGATAAGGCATTGTATTTGGTTTTTTTTTTTAGAAATTTAACAACGTACCACTATACAGAAATGTCAAAAATACACTATTTACATGTTCAAAGATCAAGAAATGATGGTAATCAAATAAATGTTAAAAATAGACATTGTAGTTGGTACATTTAATCTATAATTGCACGTTTTGTGTATTGTTCTTTTATTATTTGGGAAAAAAAAATGAGAAATGCCGGTGAATTTAAAAGTAGCTTCCACTTTGCTAATAAGTTCCTCATTTTCAAATATTATTGTCAACAAGTGTGGACCTAGGAATTTTTCGAAGATGGGCAAAAAAAATTACTGGGGCAAAAAAAAAATTTGAAGAGTTAAAATATACTACTATGTTTTATGTTTAGAAATAGCTCGCATTTGATAATTGGATTACGATATAGATTTACCAAGAAACGATTTATAAAAAACCATAATAGCAGGTATTTAATTCAGATTTACCTAGAAAAGATTTATAAGAAAAAGAAATATCAACATATTAAAAAGAAAAGTATATCGAAAGATGCATATATGTGGGCATGCATGCAACCATGACATAAAAAAGCTTTTTCACCAAAATAAATAAGTTCTAAAGATTAGCTCACCTTAATGGTAAAGGAGTTGACCATTGTTTCATTATCAGTGTTGATTGTAGCTTGGAGGATTTCAAGAGATAGGTCTTCAAGCACCGACACTATCTTTGTTGCTTGACCTGGTAACCTAGGTGATAAAGTCTTTAGAAGAAGATTTGGGCCTGAGAACTTCACCTCAACATCAGCGATAGATGACTTTGAATTTGCAACAAGCTCGTTAATGGTGTCGGAATTTGAGGATGAATTACAAGGTGAAGCGGGTGTCGTATTAGCCATGGATGATGGAGATAGTAGGTAAGAAGTAGCGGATGGTAACCTGTGTCTGTAAGGGCTCGCTGACTGTGGGGTTCTGGGGCTTATTGGCAAGCTTGGCCTCGGACTCAAAGGGGGTTTCCGAGGGCTGAGAGGTAGGGTTCTAGGGCTTGAAATAAGCCTAGGGCTTAACACATCACTGTAAACTTTTCTTTGCTTCTTTGCCTCTAGAGATTGTAGCACTTGTTGCAATTCAGTGATGTAGTTAATTACTCCTCCAATTATTGATGCTTGATCACCCTACAGTTTGCACAAACACAACAGAATCACATATATGTTAGAATAATATCTACATGAATCATTGTGCATCAATGAGCAGAAAGAAAAAAAAAAAAAAAAGCTTCAAAGTATGTTTTTCCGGTACTGTAAAAAGATAGCAAGTGACGAGTAGAGTATGATACCCTTTTGACATAGAAGCAAGGCATTAACGACCGGAGAACGGTTAAGTGCTCGTTCATCTGCTTTCTCCTGTTCCTCTCCACGGTGACATGAGAAATCTTTAACTGTCCATCTGAGTTTTCACAGCCTTCTTCTGCTGAAGACACCTTCCGTTTCTTGCTTCTTGGTGAAAAGGCCTCAAGCTCCATTTCCTCGAGTTCCTGTACAGCACTCGAAGAAGTTGACTTCTGGGACGCAAGCTGATGCAAACCACCCTCTTTGGTGCCGCAATCAGTCTCATGTAGAGGTGTGAAGGCTGTGAACTCATCAGAAACACCCTCTAATGCCTCGAGAATACTGAAGATGTCGTCAGGAGATTCTTCTCCAGTTGACAAGAATTTTGTTTCGCCAAACTGTTCGGCGGAGGTGTCAAAGAACTCAGGTAACGAAGTAGACTCACCCACCATTTTGAACGTTGAGTAGGATGAAAAGAACAAAAAAGAAAAAGAATCGGTTGGTGTTAACTTTATTTAAACAAATAGGAAGGCTAGATTCATGGGAGAACACCCAGGGATAGCATGAAAAGATAGTTTTGTTTGGATGTTTGTCAAGATCGAGGAACGAGAAATGCCAAAATCAGGAAATATTAATAGGCATCTGATTATGGATAGCGACTTATCTATCGACATCATCTTCTCTCTCTTGCATGATTTTCCTAACAGCTAGATGCGGTTTTTTGTAGTGCATGTAACTATAGCTTAATTAACTTTGAATAGATATTGTTGTTTTACAAACATAATTAGACATGATATCTTTATCTCATAATTAACAAGGATCATGTTCACTGTGATCATGCCGCGACTATTAGCCATGGGGAAACAAAACAACCCCAAATATAAAAGGTTATTCTCATCCGTATTATGTTGTTCTTCCCTCCCTGTGAACAACGCTCTAAACTCATGGAAATTTTTAGCCAAAGAGAAATTAAACGGCATCGATGCAAACTAAGAGATCCTAATGGCCCAATCCTTATTGTTAGAGTACATTTAACAATAAAAAATGGTTAAAGAAAATAAGGCTTTGGTATTTTAAGTAATTTTGTATCAATAGTATATTAGGCATCCATATTTCATTGAACTAGTTCAATGGATTGATCACTTTCACATCCATATTTTATTTTTTATTTAATTTTATTGTTTAACATTCACATTCCATTAAACCTAATAAAATTTAATAGATTTTCATATCAACATCATTATATTTTTAAATATAATTATAAATTCAAAAATAAAAGATATAATACTAAAAAAAATACAATAATTAAACATTTAATACTTAAAAATATATTAATTAAAAAACAGAAACCTAAATAATATAATATCAAAAATATGGTTAACTTTATTTGTGGTTTAATTAAAAATTAAATTTGAAAATATAAAATAATATGAAAGTATGATAACAAATATTTGAAATTTAATTGAACAAGAAAAAAATTAATTTCATTCAACCATTCAATGCTCATACACCTATTACATTCAATCATCATCAATGTCATCACCCACATTTTATTCAACCTCTATTCAATCCTAAATTCTGATTCATCATCCATTCAACTCCTATTAAACCTCATTAGGGATGCCCTTATATCAGTGACCGAAGAACACGCTCGGAAGTTTTTATATAGACTCATGACTGTGTGGCATGACATATTATCTAATGATGATCAACACACTCGCAAGCTCTTGAAACTAATTGCAAATTTTGAAATTAGTCACGAGTATTATCATTCGTTTGGTACGTGAATTAGGAACATGCTCACAAGTGTTTTAAATAACCATAAAGATGTAATTGTACATATGCGAGAGTGTATCTGTATATTCATGAGTGTTTCAATATCTAACCATATTTTCTAACCTATGATTTCAATCATAACTATTATCATACTATATCAACGTTCAAAGCCAATGTGCACTTTGCAAATAAATAAATAAGGGTGAAGTTGTACAATTCTTGAGCTCGTATAGAGCTGTTTATGAGATCATATTGTAACATCTTAAAATCGGATTTATGAGTTTTGCCTTTTTGTTAAGAAATTAAATTTTAGGAAATAAATTAAATTAAAATAAATAATAATCTATTTAATAAATAAATATTAAGATAAATTTAATGGATTTTTAAAATACAAATGTTGAGACTTTAAATAAAATAAATGTTTGGATTAAATGAGTAGAAAAAATAAGTAAAATGACTGGTTTTGCCAACTTATAAACTTAAAGACCAAGTGTTGACTATTGAATGACCTCTTGATTAAAAGTACTAAAACTGTAACATTCCAAAATCACGGTAAAAATTTTCATTTTTAAATTAAGAGAAATCATTTTTTTCAAACAAAACTCATATTGAAACCAAGTATCAACTACAAATATCTCAAGATCATTGTAACACAAAATCTTTTAGAAACATGTCATCAAAGGATGTGTACGATCACGCTTTTGCTTTCCCTTGATCATCTGAAGTACCTGAAACCATAACAATCAAAATGTAACACAAAGCTTAGTGAGTTCACTTAAAATACCACCACACAAACATATAACAACATGCATACTAGGTCTACAGCTAACAGATTGGATTACCCCTGAACCCACAACATGAGTCTAGCTTGCCTTCCGGCCCACAGCTCATGTCTGGCTTTCTCCCTATCCCACAACATAAATCTGGCTTGCCTTACTGGCCCACAACTTATGTTTGGCTTGCTCCCAAGCCCACAACATAAGTCTGATTTGCCTTACTGGCCCACAACTTATGTATGGCTTGCTCCCAGGTTTGTTGGCTTCCGCACAAAGCATGATTTCCTCAACCCAACCATACTATGACGACATGTGTAACATATAACATATAACTAGCAAGTACAGGTAATCATACAGATCTACCAATCTAACAGATCTCTACAGCATAACAACATCCTATATACCAGGATACATAACACAACCTAATGGGCCGGCATTAGTGCCTTCGACCCATGAGTACAATAAGGAAAACTCACCTAAATCGAAGAACTCTGAAACACTGTGATACAATCCTTTTTTTGCACTACTTGCACCTGCGTATCTACCAACACCAGAACTAGATAAAATCTTAATCAATAGTCCAAAATCCTCAAGTTTGACCCAAAGTCAAACTTGGTCAAAAAGTCAACGGTCAACGGAAGTCAACAAAAGTCAAAGTCCAAGGCAGCTGAGTACATGTAGCGTCCTCCACGTACGCCCAGCGTACATGATTTAGGGCCAGTACCCGCAGTGTACTCTCAGGTACGCCCGACGTACATATGTCCAAGACAATTCCTTCCTTTAGTGCTTAATCCCTTAAGACCTTTTGTCCAGAGCTCAGATTTAGACTCAAAACATCGACTTAAGTCATAAAGTTTCCATCTTTATGAATTTCCATGGCTAGAAAACGTCCAAAAGCTAAAACCCTAACTTATTTATCCATTAAGACATCTTAACTATTGCATGGAAGGGATAAAAGAACCAAGATCACATTTTTATGGTTCCTAATAGCTCCATAATGGATAAAGTTTCCAACTTTATCCATTAGAATGGTCCAAAAAACAAAGATCTAGTCTTTTAAGTTTCAAAGGGGAACAAAAGTGCATCTTTCTTACTTAATCCATTAAGTCCATGTTTCCAACCTTTAGATCTAAATCAAAATGATGTTTAGATGGATAAAGTTTCCAACTTTATCCATAACAAGGTCACAAACTTTTAAGATCTAAACTTTATGCACTAAAGTGACCAAAAGCTCATAATATCCAAAACTAGCTAGATCTGACAAATGCATCATCAAGATTCAAGCTTTATACCTCCACAAGAAAGATCAAGGTGAACAAGGTCTGGATCTACAAGCTCCAAAGCAACCAACACTTCTCCAATGAGCTCCTTCTTCTCCAAGATGCGCCAAGAACATTCCAAAGCATGTAAAACTGAAGGATCTCACAAATGGGATTATGGTTTCGATATTAGGGTTAGAGAGGATGGAGGCTGAAAGAAATAAGGGTATGGGGAAGTTAAGGAGCATAAATAGGGCTTAAAACTTCGAAAGTAGGGTTTGGGTTCTAATCGCATACACCCAGCGTACTCCTGGTACGCCCAGGGTACCAAGTTGATCCCCCACGATCTATCATTGCCTAGTACGCCCAACGTACTCAGCTTAACCCAAAACCTTCATAACTTATAACGGTCATAACTTCTTTGTTCCAACTCTGTTTTCAAGGATCTTTATATCCACATAATAGTATTAAAGAGCCCTACAATATTATCTAGATATCTTGGACTAAAAACTTCTCAAACAAAAATCCATATTTCATGCAAGAACCCGACCTATGACTTTTCCCTTTCAACCCTTCGGACCAATATGCAGTTCAAGGGTTAAATATATTAACCATCATTACCTTCTTCTATAAGGACTAAACTTTACCTCCTTAAGGCCCAGATCCTTTACACAATCGACTTCCGGTCCACGATCCTGAAAGAAGAAATGACAGGAAACAGGATGTTACAAAAACTAATGGTTGAAGTATAAAAGATGGAAGTTCATTTAAATTTTTTGGTCAAATGGTGTGATTTGTTAGAAAGATTAAATTGATGAACCATTTATGCCACTTTTTAGAAATTAGGAGCTAGATAATGGAGTCTTTTCCCATTAGATGAATAAGACAATTTAGAGAAGGGGAGAGCACTCACATGATGATTTTGATAGATTAATGAAGATCTTGATAGATTGATGAAGATCTATAGCTAATTTGTAGAGAATTAAAGATATTATGAAGCAAGGATTCCGTCAAAGCATTTCATGGTATAAATTTTTCCCATATTCTCTAAGAGTTTGTACCTAGGGTTTGGGTTTGAACCCTAAATCCAATGTTGGTGCTTATAATGGTGATTAATTGTTAATATGTGTAAGGGATTAGTTTTAGAACTCTCAACCTTCATTGAATCAATTACAATTTGGTTTTAACGGAGGTTTGGTTAAGATGTTGAGCTTCAAGCTCCATTAATGGTGGAATTCTCTATCTAGTAGTTCAAATCAATTGTGGAGTGTTGGATTACCTTCTAGAATAGCATAAGATTTTTAAATCAACCTTGAAAGATTTCAATGCATCATTTACTGGTGAAAATGGATGATTCAAACTCTAAATTCTTGTATGATTTGTACCTTGGTTATGATGAATTGCACTCTACCCTTCATTCATAGATTTGGAGTCAAATATGTAATTATCATCTGTTTAGATGATTACATTTATAAAATCAATAATTAAAAAAAATCTCATGTGATCTAGAATGTTGTTTGTACATTAGTAGTTATGGAATGAAACAATTTTTAATAGTGTCACAACTAGCAAATTTAGGGTTGAGATGGTGATTCATGTATAAAAATTTCCTCTATGTAATCTTGCAACATCAAATTAGTG